ACCGGTAGGAAAACTCACTGGAAATATTTCATAGGCAAACTTGACATTTTGCTGGTAGAAAAAGCCTACTGGAAATGTTCTACTGAAAAAAACTCGTCATTCTATCGGTAGGTCTCCCTAATTTTCTCCTGATTCCATCATTTTTTCAATTCCAATTCATTTAAACCTTATACATCATCAACCCAAATCATACAACATGCAATTTTACAAAATACATAGCTCGTATGAGTTTGATTACAATCCCTTATATACAATATCATGTCCAAAGATTAAATTACATCTTAATTTTACAAAAACATAGTTTAAAAGTCACATCTCGATTTTTTTTCATTAATGAGGGCCCGAGTGAGGGCCGTCCATCGGCGCATATCCCGCACCTGAAATGTTGTCTCCATAAAGGGTGAGTCACGCTCAATAAGGTATCTCCTAAAGAGACTACTCTCCAACCTAGATGCATATGAAATGTTCACGTGCAAATTCAACAAGCAACAATCAATCCATTCAAGAATATGAAATTCATAATGGATTCTCTATGTTATGTCATGTTATGAGATGAGACTCATACATGCAACTCAACCCGATCCTTGACCAGCTTCCTCAACACATACAATGCTAATGCGTACAAACCTGGGCATTCCAAGCCTTCGCCATTGATGTTACACATCTAATGACCTCTTTTTTAAAATAAACCACGTGTCTTTCTTGGGTAAGTGATTTCCTGAACTTGCACCAGCAGTCCACCACACTGACATTGATTTTGGTATCTCACCTCCGGCTCTGCATACACCAATACATTTTTTGAACTTTCACCGTCAGAAATGTATAAACTAATAACCGGATATTGTACCCAAGTGAGAGTCTAACACTTTTTATTATACCCAACACAAATTTTTCAGGCAACCCGTGCAACTCAGTTGGACCTAAGTCCAACCTTCCCGAGTCCACGCATCAACAACCCAAAATGGTGTTTGATCCAAAAACAAGCACACACACACACACTCATGTCAAATGCCTACGAATGTGATGCTACTTGCGTATATGCAAATGTAAATACACAATTACAATTCCAATATCAAGTTCAATATGTCATGTGCACATTATAAACAATATTTCATCTCAACCAACATTTTCAATTGTCAATTATATCATAAGTATAATAATTACAATTTATAACATCATCAAAACATGTCATTTCAATTTCACCCAAATGACATGTTTATTTCATATAAGACATTTTATCAAACACCCACAAGGTACAAAATCATGTAAATACATAATATGTTCAATTTATCACATTTCTCATGAAATCACCAAACAAGCAATTTCAACAACTCAATTCATGTAAAAATTGATCTTAACCATTCTTAAATCCATTTTTCACATTTTAATTACAATAATTATGTGTCATACATGAAATTACATCTCTAACACCCTACTCATTTTATATTTCAACCATAGGTTAGAATTAAACCTAATTAGGAAATGAACCATATCTCTTAAAGCGTAAAATAAGTGGTAGAAAACCTTCAAAACTCAAATCAAACTTTAGCCCTTAATTTTCAAAAATCCCGTCTTTTGAACTTCATCAAAAATTTTGATTTTTGGGATGATTTTGTAGCCCACATGGCGTAAAACAATCTTTGTTCTTGGCCCAAGGTGATTCGACGAACGGAAAATTGTAAATCATAGAGAGAATTTGAAAAAACGCTTATTTTTCCCTCTCTTCCCTTTCTAACTAAAATCTGATGTCTGATGGGTAATGGAGAGAAAATTTAATTTTCTCCCTATTTATATCCCTTGAATACTTGGCCCTTATTACACCACACGTCTGCCTTTCCTATATTTGATTTCATCTTGAATTAATTAAATCTCGTCTCAGTTCAAGTTCAATATATTTTTATTTGAACTTACTTTAAATTATTATCTATTTTTTACAATTTAGTTCCCACTCTCATTTATTTTTGTCACACGACACCCGATCGCCGTGTAAAACGTAAAAAATTCAACTGTCTCAGAATTCAATGAAAATTGACTAGATAACTAGATTTCGCAAGACGAATCCAACAGGAAAATCCGTTTTGTCATCCGAGTTCTAGAAAAATTTAAATTTTTAACTCGTACCGCAATGGCTAATTACAATTTTACCATTTTTTTCATAAAAATTCAAATTTACCTAAGTTTTACAACTAAAGTTGCATGCCAATTGGTACCTTGAGACTTTGATTGTGCTTATGATTATGCCACGTTTGGATTAGAGATGAATCATACGTATTGGACGGTAAAGTATACAAGAATACTCATATAAACCCGTAAATTCATCCTTGCCCCACCTCTGTCCTGTCCTTTTTCACCCCGCTAAACTCATATATATATATATATATAACAAATAAAACAATTAAGTGAAACACACATTTATTGTATATATTATTTTTATGAATTTTTATCTTTGATTCATTTGTTATATAATGAATTTTTATCTTTCTTGTGAATTCATATGTGAGGTTTTATGATTTATTTTTTATTTTTTCTTTGAAAATTATAGATATTAATTGTTAGTTTGTTATAGACAAGAACGATGATCAAAATTTACCCACGGGACAAGGACCGGGAGATTACTTCCCCCCACTTTTCCTCCTCCTCCTCCTCCTCCTCCCATCCCTAGTATATATGTGCCTAGCTTCACCAGACATATCTAGACAAAACTCTGAAACCCCGGTGAAGCTGCATCCGGCGTCTTTATCATCTCTCCAAAGCAAATTGCACATATTAGGGTTGTCCAATCTGGTGTTTTCCGATAAACCAATCAACAGAAAATGGCCCCCATTGTATTCCAACACCTCCACTCCAAAATGACCCCGCGTGCACGCAAGACATCGTGTACCAATCCTGCTTCTATGTAATTAATGACGAAGCACTTATCAACCCCTTCATATGTATTTGTGAATCCATTACCAAAAACAGGTAATTAAACTGGTCGATGACAATGGTGAAGGCCACTGGGTCCAGTGCCAGAAATAACCGTCTGGGACTGGAAATGGTAAGTGTAGCCCTAAGGCTTGCTAGTGCCTTCTGACCACTGTCATCTGCGCAGACATAGTACTCGCCAGTCTGTCTCTCTCTCCCTCACTCACACACACACACACACAACTGCATGGAGAAACACCACTGGACCCAGATGACATGCATGGCTAACAAATTCAGGGCACGTGAGCTTTTCTTGGTGACATCTAGCTCCCATATTTGGCTGTTTAGTTCAATTAGGTCTTACAGTAAGCTGCCACACTGCCATGACTTCTTTTAAATCACTATTCCATTTTCTCTTTTTAAAGGCTTAGAAGCAAGCCCATTTTCCTGGCTATTGTTGAGCATGTGTCTAACCATCAATCCACTAGTCTCACGGTACAATACAATATTGGCCATAAATAAGAAACTAAACTAAAAAACGAGTCCCCTCCATATGTGCAAAACAAAGCCAAGATAAAATAATACAAAAAGGTATTGTACAAAAAGCTATAGCTGCTCTCTTATTGGTCAGCATAAGATGACCAAAGACAAGTAATAAGCTAGTCGCTTAGAGGAGCTCGTTCTATGGATAAGCTTGAGTTACGCATCAAGTGAGGAGCAAACAAGAAACCCAGACTAGTGTTTTCGAGACTTACCAAAGATGATGAGACACAAACATATATTTGGCAAAACGAGATCAGACATTTTTGGTATCAGATGAAAGAAGCCCCATCTGTTCTGTAAGATGATCCACATGCTGAGCATTGTTCCATCCATTCTGCAAAGGCTTTGCTTCATTTCCCTCGGTAAGATCTTCCGGTGGAGTTGAGTCCATCTCCTCAGTCTCCGCAGGCGGACTCTGTGCAAGAAAATTTTCCCAGAAGGGGTCGCTTATGCTAGGAAGCTCTTGGATCCCGTCCAACAAAGAAATGTCCCAATCTATCTCAGTATCAGGAGAGAAACTGCCGATTTCTAATGGCATTTTCCCATTCACCCCCAAGGAGGTTGGATCCAACTCATCCAAGAAAGTGGTATTCCCTGATTCAGGTCTCAAATTACCAACATTGGTTTCTGACACCATTTGTTGTACTTGAGAGAGCTCAGGCATAATTATGTCAGGTGGGGGAAGAGTAACAGAATGCAATTCTTGCCCTTCAACCAGCGGGCTGAGGTCCGAATATGGAGTTCCCATGATCTCAGAGCTTGCACCTAGGGAGGAAGACTGAATCTGAGATATGGAAGCTAAAGAACTGTGACCTGTGTCCTTTGAAGCTGCTGCCATATAAGACAGCCCAGAAGGTGGTGGGACCTCCTGAAGGGTCACTCCTGAGATACGGTTTGAAGAAGTCCCATGGTCAAACGCATTGGATGTTGATGAACTGTCACTGATCAGGAAACTATCAGAACTGTTGCTGAAGGTTTCCAGCTGAGGTGAAGCATCAGTTTTTATGATCTGCCTGAGCATTGCTTTGGCTGCCTCATTTATCAAAGGCTGGTACTTAACAATCTGTCCATCCATAGGGCCAACAGAATGATCATCTGAGACATCTTCCTCCTTAAGCCTGCGTTTTTTGTTTCCTTCGGTAAGGCGCCTGCCGCTCTCATTCTGCTGCTGCAAAAACTGTGCCAAAAAGCCAGGGCTATTGACAGCCTTCGCCAGGAATGACATCATCTGCTGTTGCCGCTGCTCCATTCCTTGTAGACGCTGCAGCATCACTTGTAACTGATTATCAGTAGACTGTTGCTGCTGTCTCAACCTGACAAGCTCCTGCATAAGCACATTCTTGTCCCTTTTTAGCCTCTCAACCTCTTCCTCAAGCCCAAATTTCCCTACCTCAACACACGCCCCCACTGATGAACTCGGCTGCTGGGGTGGCGGTGGAGGTGGTGGTTGCTGATTATGGCCACTGGCAGGTTTTCGCCGACTAATACTTCTAAGCAGGTGGCGTTGGCCTCTTAAGAATCCCTCATTTGCAAACTCCCAGCGGTCAGGATCAACCTTTCTGAATCCCTGTTTCTCCGCAGGTACCCCAACAAAATAGAGGGAAAAGAAGAAAAATTGGAAAATAGCACGAGTAGTTTAATCAGCATCAAACATCTCTGTAAAATACTGAATCAAAAGAGAGAACATGGATTTATACCCCAAAAGGTAAAAAAACAACGATCTGCAAAAGTTCATGGATAACTTCCATCAAACACAAGGGAAAACATAAGGTTATATCTGGTCGGAAGAACAATTCGGAATATTTAGTTCACACATTTCTTACTAAAATTGAGTGCCAGTGCTTAACATAGCAAGAGTATTTTTCAATGATCTTCAGACAAGGAAAATTTATTTTCAGCGTCACTCTTGCGAACCTGCAAATTACGTATTTCAAGAACTGGGGTGTTCAGCATATCACTTGTCCACTGTGCAGAACGTATACTAATATTGCTTCCACCAATAACCATACCAAAGCAAAATGAACACTGCATTCAATACTTCACAGATTCCCAACACCTACCCAAAGTTCTACCCTTAGATCCAAAATTGAACGTACACAGGCATGCACTTCCTATGCTAAAGTGAATAAATATCTAATAAACGGCCTTCCCAGCTTCTGCTTTTAGCAAGTGATGTCTTTGGAACACAGGTAGACGAGCCAAGGGATCACAAAACACATGAGCGACACCCAAATCAAAGAAATCGTGTATAGTCGACCATAAGTACAATAAAATTCCCATCTCTCCCAGTGAAGTGTCAGCTTTACACAGAATTCAAAGATCAACATGTTGCAAATTTTTTTACAAGCAATAAAATGATTCAACACTGCTTGAGCACACTGAACCCATGATGGAGATCGTATTGGATAGATATTTTAGATTAATCATGAGAGTAATTTAGTATTTACCTTTTAAGTATTTTATTTTAACTTTTAAGGATTTAGTTGTCATTTTGATTATTTATTTATTTTAGAGTTTGTGATCTCCTTATATACATATAGGATTTGTAAATTCCTTATATATATAGGGGATAAATATTTGTTGTGAGATTAGACTTTTGATTATTATGAATTACTGATATTGAATCCTAATATTACTTTTTCCTCAAATTCTCTCTCTTTTCTCATCCTCTTTTTCTTCCCTTCTCATCCCAAATCTTCCCTACTAATATTTCCTACTACGATCTACATCAATTTGGTATCAAAGCCTAATCTCAATTCAACACTGCCGCTACCATAGAATCTATTCAATCATCATTAATTAGTTGTATTGTTGCTATTCACTGTCATCACAAAGCCTTCGTCAAAATTCTCAACACAGCCACCAACAACGACAACATAAAACCAATGTCACCCAGATAGCCAAAAAAAATACTTTTGCACTGTCCTGGTGTTCATCGTTGTTCTGGTCTCATTCCAGAAGAAAAAAGATACTGTTCATTTGTTACTATTCTTCGTTATTGTTCATCGCGACTGTTCAACCTCAGTAAATTTTAGAATTATAGAAACATCCCCAGAAGGTCCAAAAAATTACAGAATCACACCCATAAGTTTCAGCAAATTACAGAAATACTATCCAGAAGCTCCAGAATTATAGAAACATCCCAGCAGATTTAGAAAATTATAGAAACATCACCCCTGAATTTTCAGTAATTGCAGAAACGTCACCCAGAAGTTCCAAAAGCTGCAGACACATCCCAAGAGGTTTTCAAAAATTCCAAAACTGCCCAAGAAATTTCAGAAATTACAGATTTCTCCCCCAGAAGTTTTAGAAATTACAGAATCATCCCCAAAAAATTTTAGAATTTCCTCTTGATTATGATATGCACACTTCCATAAAAATTTGAGACTAATATTTTTTATTCATCGGGAAATTAGAGAATTTACAAAAGGTCCAAAACATATTTTCTTCGAAAAATTTTTCACTTCTTAAATTTGTTCTTATACCATTCTCATATTTCAATAGTCAATCATGAGTTCCTCTAACGCACATGTTTCAAGAGTCTCTCATCGAGGTCATCATCACAGGAAGTCTAGGGATGTTTACATGAAGTCAACACATATGACCACACTAGTCAAAGATCTTTCTATATTTAGTGGCACTTTAGATCCTAATTAATTCTTGGATTGGTTAGCTAATTTAGAAAAATATTTTGATTGACATAGCATGTCAAATTCTCATTGCGTCCGTTTTGCTAAATTGATGTTGGAGGCTTCCACCAAGCAGTATTAGCAAACAATCCAAAGAAGCCTATACCCTTTAGGAGAATCACCTATCACTTGAGTTGAAATGAGATATAAATTGAAAAAGAAGTATTTGCCTACTTCCTACATGGATCAAATTTATGACCAGTGACTCAATCTTAGACAACATTCTTCTAGTATCTCTGATTACTTTACCCAGTTCGATTATCTCATGTATTTGTGTTACATTGTTGAAAAACCTTAGACAATTGATCAATTTATTCTAGAGTTGAGACAAAAAATTAGTAGCAAGGTCAAGCTATACACTTTTAATTAGATAGTTGCAGCTTATCAATATGTTCTAAAGGTTGAGAGATTTCATAAAAAATCCAATTATAGCTTAATGAGTTCTCAATCTCAATCTGCTAAACAGCGTGAAATGATACCTTCCAATTTTAATTCCACCAGTATCATGATTACTTGAATGATGTCCATGTTTCTGCATGCTTTCTTAATCCAAATGTGGCAAAGGAATTAAATATGCTAGTATCGGATAAAGAGAAAAATGTTACTCATATTGACTTTCAACTCCCTCATTTAATTTCATCAGATCAGAGTTCTCCTCCTTTGCACCCACTAGAGTTCATATCGAAAGAAAGTGTGTGAATCTTTGCTTGTGTCAATTCTTGAACCATCATTGATCTTAAAAATTGTGAAAAAATCTGTTGAGTCTACACCTATGCAAGATATTAAGTCAATCGAGTCATTTATTGCAGAATCTACAAGTGACTATTCTTTGTCTACTTGTCCAAGTCATCATGACTTTGTCACGAATTCTTCCCAACTTGAGATTGTTGACATTATTCTGGATTCTGCCCCACTTGAGAGTGTTAACTTTTATTCTTTGCCTACTATCAAGTGTTCAATTGAGTCTGTACTTTCTTATTTTCAGCAATAGGGTGTTATAGTTACTCCTTTGTCATTAATGTCTTGTCCCACTGAATGTCTTTTGTTCAAATCTAATGAAAATTGTTTTGCTATTCTTGAGTTTGGATCTAATACTTATTTGTTTAATTTTTCATTAAATATTAGTATTAGTCCAGATTTTTATTTGAAAAACATGTTACTTAATCGAGGTACACCAGACCCTCTTATTTTGTTATCAAGTGTTTCTACAAGTAGAATTGATTATTCCTCAGCATTAGCTTCAGTTCTTATCTTTCAACTTCCATTGTGTATTTCGGGGCAAATTGATGATGTGCTACATGACCAGATTTACATTGATACAGATGGAGATTCTTACATTATTCTAATCGATAGAAAAATATTGATGGTTCTTTCACTCTAGATGAAACGTTATGTCATCTTCGTTCTGCTCTCGTAGGGTACTTCTACTTTGAAAACTCTCCAGAGAAGAATTTTTCTCAACCAGAGGAGAATGATGGGGCTCGTGTAGGAATTGAATAGATATTTTAGATTAATCATGAGAATAATTTAGTATTTATCTTTTAAGTATTTTCTTTTAACTTTTAAGGGTTTAGTTGTCATTTTAATTATTTATTTATTTTAGGGTTTATGATCTCCTTATATATATAGGATTTGTGAACTCCTTATATATATAGGAAATACATATTTGTTGTGAAATTAAACTTTTGATTATTATTGATTACTAATATTATTTAAATTCTCTCTCTTTTCTCAGCCTCTTATTCTTCTTTTCTCATCTCCTTCTTCTTTCCTACTACGATCTACATTAATTTGGTATCAGAGCTAATACGATCTACATCACCCCACCCCCCAACAAAAAAAAAACTATTCTTGCCTATTGTATAAAATTTGGGTCAACATTCAAAATATCACTCAAATCCAACAACACTTGACTTTGGTAAGAATTTAGTCCATGTGAATCTTTTCCTTTTGTCAAGGCACACAATGTTGTGGACCATCTACACTTCGCATGCCCCAGAAATATGAGAAAATCCTCCACCTTTAACAACGCACATAAGAACAGCATTAGCTGGTTCTATGTACCAAGACAAAACGTCAAATTATACATGTCATAACAAAAATGAGTGTTGGAAAAATATCATGTAGAAACAAAGCACATGCACTCAGCAGAGATGAAAAAATAACTCAAAACCAGAACGACTAGAATCAACTCTTGAGTCACTTTGCAAATACCTTGTTTCACTAATCCATGATTGAAAACCAAACAATAAGAGGTGCTCAAAGGTCAGTATAGTGCAATACAAATAGAATGATATACTAGTGGCAACTTAAAAGAAAGCCAGAAACTTAATAATAACTAGGCTAGATGCCAGGAAAATGAAAACGAGCTAAAAATTGAGGACTGACAAATGAACAGAAAACATGGGCTGCATAAGGCCGTCTGAAGTCTGAGCCAATCATTGGATTGGAGCCCTGTACTTCAAATCCACTACTTCCAGTAAACCCAAATTCCATCCTTACATAATAACAGATAAACAAAAATCGTAAGGCCACCCTACATTTTAGCCTTGATGCTGAAAATTACCAGTTCTGATTGCTGCTAGCCCCAATGGTTGTTTCATTGACAAATTGTTCAGTGCGGGATTCTTCTGAATGTTTTATGGGATCAATTTCATTAACCTACGGTGTCGCTAGTAGAAATGCATTTTTGTACTCTTGCGCCTTCTATTCTAGATCACACAGAGCGTAAACGGGGATGGGGGCGAGAGTGAAAAAATTCAATAAAATCTTAGAGCGGGAGTAACTTTAGAGCGTCATCTTTTATATGAAGAAATTTTCATTCAAGTTTTAATAGTAAGATATAATATTTAAGGATTTTTAGGTGTTAAATAGAGAAATATTATAAAAATATGATTTAAATTAAAATTAAAACATGTCTAAAACTGGCTCAGTGATGAGTTTACTATTATAATATTCCTTACTCAATTACTAACCATAAAAATTTAACAAAATTTAATCAAAATAATTTACCTAAAATTGGAGTAAAAGTTTGAGGCACCGACAGTGTCCTTGTCTCTTCATTTTACACTTTCCAATAAGAGTGAGAGAGAGAGGGGCACGCATCGAGGACGATGTTTCATCAGTTTCTTCTTCCTCACCCTTCTTTCTCTCTCTTTCTTCTTCCTCTCTCTTTCTTCTTCTTCTTCTCTCTCTCTCACTGAAGAGATGAAACAACGTCCTCGATGTGTGAAGGGGTTGGGCTGCTTATCCTTCAACATGAATGCTCCACAAAGGCAAAGTCGAAGACGACAAAGCTGCATCCAAAGACGATAAAGG